GATCCCACCGAATTGTCAGAAATACAAGTTTAGTGGTACAAGGGAACTGCCCTGGCTGCCCCCAAGTTACAGATTCATTTGGCAACAGGCGGAAGACAAAAATGTTTCCTTCTGGAGGAAACAGTCGAGCCTCTCACTTTTTAACTATCTGTCCTCTTGGGAAACGAAGGAACAGGGCAGAGCTCCGGCCCTCTGCTAGCAGCCTGGGCACACCAAGAAGAAAGACACCGGGTGGTGGCGGCGGGTAGGAGAGGGAGCAGCGGTGCCGAGGGGAGCGCCCACTGCTCTCCTGTTGGATGGTTCCCAGGCACCGTCAGTCAGGGGCTCCAACACCCTCGTGCGCATGCACGAATCCAGACACACACACAACACATAAATAATAAAATCTGAAAAAAGTACACTCGGTATTTTTTGGATGAATGAAAGGAGTTCTAAGTCAAAGAAGGGAAAAGTGCCTGGGGGCAATTATCCACATTGTGTATTGGACAAATCACCTATTTTCCAAGTCTTTCTCCACACCGGATCACTCTACTGCCAAGCTCTTCTTCAAGCAGCATTGAGTGCACACCTGGGCAGAGATGATTGCTCTCTCACACCTAACATCAAAGTCTGAGATAATAATACAAAATAAGCTAACGGAATGGGAGGGGTAGAGGTTAAGGGGAGACAAGAGGCCCGGGAAATGAGCTGAAGGATGAGGGTAAGTTTTCATTGGAAAGGGGAAACAACTGAGTGAGGCCTCTGGGTGGGTGGAGGGGCGGGGCAACAGAACTGAACAGCACCAGACCTGCCAGGCCATCCCGGTGCAGAAACAGTATGAGAGCCCGTGAGAAAGGAAAGGGCAGACTGTGGTGAGACTTATACTTAAGGAGAAGTAGACTTTCGTGCTGTAAACATCAGCAAGACTACTTGGTCCGTATCACGTTGTTTCCAAGCGCGTATGCATGCACAGGAAGGCAAATAAAGATGGGGGAGGGGGGACTCGCCTATCCAAATTTACCTATCTGGCTGGTGTTGGTGTGGTATTCCAAGACCAACTTTCCAGAAGATCATATTTGAGAAACCCACAGGCCAGCTCCCAACTCACGTCTGCACTGAAAAGCACTTTTCATTTGAGGTGTGTGATGGTCAGTCTCAGTTGTGGGCTTCATTGGATCTGGAACCAACTGAGAGGCAACCTTCTGGGCATTCCTGATGGCTTGTCTTGTTCAGACTGTGTGAAGTGGGGAAGACTCACCCTAAACATAGGAAGCAACTTTTGGTGGTAATTCAGATTAGGGAAGAAGGAAGCTCTGCTCTCTGCGTTCGAGCCTTCACTCACTGCCAAGTTCATCTGCCCTGGTGTTGCTGCACTTTGCTGTTACCAGAACTCAACTTTGGCTGAAGACCACAGAGGTTTTCCATGAATAACTCCAGGCCTGCAGTGCCAGATTGGAACTGTTGGAGCACTCAGCCTCATGAACTGTGTGGCTCCCTGTGTGGTTCTCTGTAAGGAAATGGTGGTTTGGGACTGGATTGGCTCAGCATACCCCAAGGCCAAGTACTCAGAACAAAGGAGATATATTTGCCCCAGAGGAACAAAGGGCAGGGAACAGGAGACAAAGACAGGGGTTAGAGGATGAGAGAGAAGGGGACAAGATAGAGGGGTCAGGGATGTTTGTCCTAGAGGGGACAAAGGACTGCCTCTGGATAGAGAAGAGACAGCTCCATAGGAAAATGGCAGTTTATAAAGGGAAAAAGGGAAACCCGTGTTTGGATCAAGTGTTAATTAGGTGAGCCAAAAGGAGCTTTAGATTGCTGGACTTAAATACTTTGATAGCTGGATCTTGGTCGTCAGCCTTAAGAGGAGGAAGTGGCCAAATGAGGGAATAGAAGTTGGCAGCTAGCTTTAGAAATGTAATCCAATGGTTTTTAGCATGGCAGATGGAATGGGAGAGAAGGGCAAGGCCTGCCAGAGCCATGTTAGCCATGCTCAAGCTGGGTGGAGTCCCTTCATTCTCAGGCTCTCTAGTGTGAGGCAGACCATATCATACAAGCCAATCTAGTAAATCTTCTTTTAATACATACTCATCAGTTCTGCTCCTCGAGAGAACCCTAACACAGGACGGGATCTACAGCTAGGCATGGAAACGTGCTCCTGTGGGGGTGGCTAAGAAAGAAAAGCTAGTTTGTGGGGATGGGTACAGCAAGGGGAAGAAGTTTTAGGACATGGATCAGGTGTATCCACCACACTCCAAGGAACACAAGACAGGATCATGTTAATAAACAACTTTATTCAGGACATCATAGCTGGAAAGTTCCCAGCTAAATGCACAGACAAGCGAGGTATTACTGTGTTAATGCAGGAGCCAATGAGTTGCATGGGTCTGAGTATGGAGGGGACAGCACCAAGGTTGTGGGGTCAGACCAGGACATAAGCCCTAGGCTGATGTTGCTTTCCCATAGTGGGGCATGCTTTCAATATCTGTATTGTTTCAGTAATGTCAGGGGACAAATAAAAAAAAGTGGAACCAGATTCTGTTACATCTTGACTGATGCCACTCTGCACACAAACACAAATTCCAGGATCTTCTAGCAGCACTGCCACAGGCAAATAAAGCCTTTGTTTCTTCCTCACTGCTTTCTCATTTTCATTCATGCCTCAACTCCCATCTTTGAACCACACCTTGATGAAAGTCTCAGATACACAAGGACAATGTCTCAGATGGCATCTCTGGCTAGCTATCCACTTGGAAGTAACCAATGCCTCACCTCAAGCATACTACAGAGGCCTGACTAGGAAGTGGAGTACGGGTAGAAGCAGTAAATAGCATTCAAGAGCTCTGATGTGAGACTGCCGAGCTGCTGCTCACAGTGCGCTGGAGGCCATAGCTTCTAAACGTCTCATCTACAGGCGCGGCTTCAGCTCACCTCCATAGCTCTATGGGAGAAACCAAGTCTGGAGGAGCAGCATTATCTACAGCATTTTTATGGGAAGGACTGTGAAAATGTCGAAGGCTCACACTGTATTAACACTGTTTCTTCAAGGGCACCTTGAGTTACTTTTGGCACTTACTTGAAATTATCTATGAGGGACAGACTTGTGAACATTTTATTTGTATTTAACTTTTGGCAAAAGAGAAACTTTGGTCATCGTTTTATAAAAACTTCAAAGGGTTACTTTTGATTAAAATACTTTCAGAAATAATACATAAGAACAAGAAAGCAAACATCTTGACACCTAACATGAGAGCATCTTAAATACAGCAGGGTCAGTAGTGCTTACAAAAAACGAGGGTCCTCCTAATGAAAAGGAGCCAAGTATCAAAATAAGGCACACCCTGTTATTGTCACCGATTTGTACTAGGCAGTAGTGTTCTTTTCGGAAGGCACAAGTTGGGAATCTAATCGCCCAAAGGTTTAAAATGTGGTTTTGAAGGCGATGTCAGATGTGGGGACAGCTGACTTAACAAGTCCCCTTCCTGGAGTCCACAGCAAGTCATCAGTGACAGCATCCATCTAGACTCCAACACTCTGGAGCATCAGAAGTCCTCTTCCCTAGTTGGTGCATAAATCTGTAAAGGCACTGTGCAAAATGTGGGCAGGGTGGGTCACACCCTCATCTGGAGTGTACAGTAAAACAAAGGTACATTTCCTAGGCACTGAACTGTATGTAAACTAACAAAAATAATCATTTGGAAAAAACAGTAGGTAAGCTCGATAACACAGCAGGTTCTAAGTAGAAAGTCTCGAAGACGCTCCTGACAGTGGGCTTCAGTTTCCCGGGTTCTTCATTAAGAGACACACCATACTAAGAAGCAGGGAAGATTTACAAACAGTGAAGAGGGCAGTTTAGTCTTTTTGCATAGATACTCAATACAGATTTCTATTGTCTAAATAGGGACAGGAAGAAACTGATTTGGCCAGTTGGGAGGGTCAAAGTGGTCTCAGCTAATCACTATACTCCACAAAAGTAAACATAAAACTGCATAGGAGAGAAAAATTGACCAGTCAGTAGCAATGAGATTCTCCATTCCCAAAGGATTAATGTCTACATCCATCCATCCATCCCTCCATCTATCATCCATCCACATATATATTATCTATCCATTTATCATCCATGTAGCTATCATCTATCCATCCATGATATCTATCCATCAATCCACCTATCCATCTAAACAAAACACCAGACTTTAATCACATAAAGTCATAAAGTTAGGCTTAGTATGGTGGCACATGCCTATAATCCTAGCACTTGAGAGGTTGAGGCAAGAAGAGCACAAGTTCAAGGCCAGCCTGGGTTGAACACTGAAACCCTGCCTCAAACTTCCCTCAACACCACCATCCCTAAATACCCTCAAGTATTCAAAATATTTGATAAAGAGAAATATTTAACCCTTGGAATGACCTAGCCTTCACCCTTTGCTCCTGCGCATGCAAACACCTGTGAGCACGGGGGTAACTCACCAATGATGATGATGACAACAATCACCAGGACACTGATCCCTATTGCCCACATCTGCAACAAGACAGGTCCATTTAACATTGCAAAAACAGACTGTGTGAGAGATGATTTACCATTTCTAAAGCCTAAATTTAATGTTTCCAGTTAAGGTCTGAAATTGAGTTATGTGCTTTCCAAAGTATGTTCCAATCCTCTGTGGCCTCTGGGAAGAGAGATTTCCACACAGGATATGGAGCTTGTCCCATGTATCCTTTCTGAACAAAGCATGACAGGATTTGAGCTCTGATCACAGATGTTCTCATTTGCTAACATGTAAGCCTGCTTTAAGCAATATATGTATGTGCCTTTCTTCTTGTTTGTTGAGCAAGATGGACCTTCTTAGCATTTAACCTTTGAAATTGGAGCCACTCCCATAACGGATTGCAAACTGAGCATCAAAGCCAGCACTCCTCTATCAGTGTGCTCTTGGGTACCTGGGCAGGGGTCTAATGCCCAGGATTGGTTTGGGACAGTCCTGTCCTGCATATCTTTTAACTTTAGCCACAAAACATGGGATTGGATTCCTAGCTGTGGGCAAGGAAAAGGAATGTAGGCTCATGGCTGCCCCGACTCCACCCACCTCCAGAGTCACAGAACACAACACTCTGCAATAGTGTGGCAAGGGAGGGGTTGGAAGCAAGGGTCTGTCAAGAGAGCATTACCTTGCAGTTCTTCCACCAATACTTTCTCTTCAACTTGGCAGCACTTGTTTCAAACTGAGACGCACCAGCCTGTAAGGCATCCGCACGGTCATCTAGCTCCGAGAGCTTCTGGTCTCTTTCTAACACCTTATCCACGTTGACTCTCATGATGTCAACCACCTAAGTGGACACGGTTACAGTGACAGAGGGGAGAAGAAGAACAAAACTCCACATGAACCCCTCCCCCCACCATCAGCTTGTTATTACTTTGAGCTAAACTTTCACTTTTTTAAAAAGGAGGCCCACGCCTTTGTGATAAATCCACTTAGCAAACCAGGGATAGAAGGGAACTTCAATAACGGGCACTGGGGAACCATACTAGTAGTACTACATGCCACAGGGAGAGACTCAACTTCCTCTAAGGTCTGAAACAGAACAGGGTGCTCACTTTCCTGGCTGTTCAACACTAAAACTGGCAGTTAAGGAAAGACAGACACCCTGGTTGGAAAGGAAGAGGGCATCTACTGCTACCTGTAAGAAATTCTACAGAACACCCTTAAGACTCAGCAGGTCAAAGTTCTTGTTGTCAGTCTGATGACCTGAGTTCAATCCCTGGGACCCACATGGTGCAGAGAGAAAACTGGCTCCTGCAGTTGTCCTCTGCCCCCTGCATGTGGGGGATGCCTTGTGTCCTGCCCCTGCACATGCTGGATATGTTGTGTCCTCCCCCACCTCAACTACTTTCAGAGCCTTTCAGGTCTGCACTATGCCTGCTCTCTTAAGGCCAAATGAGAAGTAGGGACAGGAGAATCACCTGGGTGTTCATGGACCAGTTAGCCTGGATTTCATAGCACAGCATGGCAGAGACAAGAGACACAGCCTTAACAAGGTAGAAGAAGAGAACCAACTCCAAGAAAGTTGTTTCCTGACCGCCAACACATACACCATGGCACCATGGCACATCTGTGCCCACTCAAGTACCTCTACTCCTTCTGATACACACACACACAGACATGTGCGCGTGAGTGTGCAGACACGCACGCACGCACGCATACAGACACACACTAAGTCTTTAAAAGAATTCTTCAAAATCTACTACAGTGAATAAATTCAGTAAAGTTGCAGCTTCTAAGATAGATAAACACACACATCAGTTATTTTTCTAAGTGCCAGATATGAGCAATGTGAAAAGGACATTAAGAGAGCAGCATCCTTACCAAAACATCTCAAAGAATAAAACCTATATGACATCAGACTGAGCAGGTGGCTCAGTGTGTGAAGTGCTTGCTGCATGAACACGAAGACCTGGGTGTGGATGTGCAGCACTCATAAGAACAAACAAACAAACGAAAACTGGTGTGGCCGTCTGCTCCTGCAACCCAGCACTGGGGAAGGCAGAGAGAGGGGGATCCATCCCAGAGACTCACTGGCCAACTAGTCCAGCAACAGATGAGCTCTGGGTTCAGTGGAGTACACTGTCTAAAAAATTAAGGTGGAAAGAAAAGAGAATACAACAAAATCCCTGACTTTGACCTCTGGCTACCACATGTGTACACACATGCATATACCACACCCACTCATAAAGAGAAACCTAAAAATACACAATACTGCTATAAGCTGGGTACAACAGCACATACCTTTTAGCATTTGGGAGGCTAAGGCAAGATATCATGAGTTCAAGGGCAGCCTGAGCTATACCTTGTCTCAAAATCAAGCAAAACCACACAGACACACAGATACATACACACAGACACCCACACAGACACAGACACAGACACACACACACACAGACACAGCGCTATTAGAATTAAAGTGGGAAGACACCTGTGCTTGCACGTTGGAAGACTTAATTCTGTGGACATGGCAGATATTCTCCAAATGACTGACAAAGTTAATGCAATCACAACAGCTATTTTTCCTCCCTCAGAAAAACTGTCATGTAATATCAATTCCAAAGGCTTTTCTCCATATGTAATTTCAAAGAACTGAGAATAAGCAAACCAATACAAAAAAAAAAAAAAAAAAAAGTTACAATGGCCATACTTCCGAATTTCAAAACCCACCCAAAGCTGGAGTAATGAAAGCTGTACAAGGACAGAAGGTGACCAGTGGGAAATAACTGGAAACCTGGAAATCTGCCTACACATTTGTAGACAAGTGAACTGATTTATTCACTGATGGAATCTGATGCTGGAAATAGAACCTAAGTCCTTGTGTTGGTTAGGCAAGTATTCTACCACTGAGCTACACTCGAAGTCTGCCAACTAATTTTCAGAAGGATGCTAAGACCGTCAATGGAGAAAGAATATTCTTAACAAATAGAGCTGACACAACTAAATAAGGAAGGAATGAAGTTGGATTTCAGTTTAAAGTAGACCAGTGCGTTACCTTTAAGAGCTAAGAGAATAAAAGAGTGGATCTTTATAGCTTGTTTTAGGTTTTTGTTGCTGTGCTAAAACATCAAGACCAAAAGCAACTTGGGGCAGAAAGGGTTTAATTCATCTTGAAGCTTGTAGTCCAACATCCAGGGAAGTCAGGGCAGGAACTGATGATGCACAGGTCACGAAGGAATGCTATTTACTGCCTTGTTCCCTGGGACTTGCTCAGTCTGCTTCTTACCCATCCAGGACTATTTCCCAAGGGGTAGCATCACCCAACAAGAAGCTGGTTCATCAATTATCAGTCAAGAAAATGTTTGCCCACAGGCAAATATGGTGGGGGTATTTTCTCAATTGAGGTTCTCTCTTCCAAAATGACTCTAGATGATGTCAAGCTGACATAAAACTAGCCAGCACACAGCTTCAGGTTTGGCTCTAGGCTCTTAGATTTGATATCAAAAGCAAGAGCAACAAAAGAAAAAAATTAAAGTAACCAAAGAGATAAATTGGAATCAGGTGGTGGTGGCGACAACCTTTAATTCCAGCACTCAGAGGCAGAGGTAGGCAGATCTCTTGACTTTTAGGCCAGCCTGGTCTACAAATCAAGTTCCAAGATAGCCTAGGCTGTTATACAGAGAAACCCAGTCTTGAAAAGAGAAAGACAGAGACAGAGATTGGGGGTGGGGGGAGAGAAATTGGGCTTTATAAAAAGTAAAACCTTTTGGTATCAAAGTATACTATGAAGAATGTGAAACTCAACCAACCCAGAGGGTGGAAATACTTATGAACTATATATTTGATAAATATTAAATGTGAGGAATACATAAAAGAGCCTTATAAGTTAACAGAAAGACAGCACAACAGAATCATTTGCAAAGGAAGCATGTATGAGACATGTAACTGTAATCCTAGCCCTTGGATGGCCGAGACAAGAGGATCTGAAGTTTAATAGTACCCTGGGTCTCACAGTAAGTTCCAGGTTAGCCTGTGCTAGCAGCAGTAACACAAAGGGGGTAAAAGACTGGATTGGTCACTTCTTTAGAGAAGGGCCAACACACACTGGAAAGGTGTTCACTATCATTCATCACTGATCAAATCATTATCTCAAAACCACAAAGAGATACCACCTCTTGCTTGCTAGGATAGCTGCAGTCCCAAACTCAGAGCACCAGGGACACTGGACACTGCTGTCAGGAAAACAAGCTAGTGTAGGCTACGTAGCCACAGAGTTATTGTATGAACCACCAATGCTACTCTTAGGTCCACACTCAAATGAAACAGAAATGAAGACACATTTAATAGATCTGGTTCCAGGATACTTACAGCAGAGAGGTAAGAACAGCTCAACTGCCCACTCACTATGACTGGATAACAAATCATGGCTTATACAGATCATGAACCCTGTAAGAATGAAGTAGGGAACTGGGGGATGGTTCAGCAGTTCTCTTACAGAGAACCTGGGTCTGGGGCCCAGAACAGACACAGCAGCTGACAACCCTCTGCAGTGCCAGTTTCAAGGTTTTGATGCCCTCTTCTGGCGTCTGCAGGCACTGCACACACATAGTTTACAAAACACTCACACAGATGAAATAATAATACATCCTAAAAAAAAAAAAAAAAAAAAAAAAAATTCCTCCCCCCCCTGCCTTTGGTTCTGGGGTGGTGTTTGGCACTGGGCTGCAGCAGTCATGGTGACCTTACTTCAGCTTGTACATTACCACTAGGTTCCTATACTTGTCCCTGTGGGATTTTTCTTGGGATGCTATCTAGACAGAAGGGATGACGAAAAGCTAATGCCTTCTGGAGTAAGAGTATGAGCTTTCAAAGGGAACTGAGGCCCAGTGAAGAAGCTACTTAGAAGTAAAGCCTGTGGCTAAATCACAGGATATTCACATTTTTAAAGTTACTGGAGAAATAAAAACATTTGTTATTTAAAAAACAGAACATAGGCTTTATGCTCCCCAGGGAGGGTGAGGCCTTCCATAGGGGGTCTTTAGAGTCTGTCATATCCTTTGGGACAGGGCCTAGGACCTCTCCAGTGTGTCTAGGCTCAAGGAGTATCCCTCTATGTGGAATGGGCTCCCAAAGTCCATTCCTATACTAGGGATAAGTACTGATCTAGGGTGTTAGTGGGGGGGGGGCAGGGGAGGAGGGGAAGGAAAGGGAACTGGGAGTGACATATAAAATAATCTTGTTTCTAATTTAAATAAAAAAATGGAGAAAAAAGAGAACACAGGAATATCAGTTGAAGGTTCTGACAGTCTTCACTGTGTTTCTACATGTGCACACCCAAACAAAAGATGCCAGAAGAGTCCTCTAGGTCAAGAATCCAGAGAGAACTACTGGGCTACAGAAGTTCCACTTTCTATGTGTCCTTCAGCAACTGCTAGAGAAAGCTCTACGGAGACTTGCCCATACTAGGTAACTAGTAAACCTGGCTACAGAACACAGACACAGACACATATCCCACCCGATCAGAAAGACTTGTTCCTGGCTTAAACAATCTGATTACCCTATCTTACGAAGTGGCTCTGGGGCTCTGGGGACATGCTTTCAGGGACAGGTTCACATGTTTTAGGTATGTGATTTGATAATAGAAAAGTGAAACCAGGAAGAGTTTGCCTTGTGCTTAAAACACAGCTTCTAGAACATGCAATCAAAACACTCATTCATATAAAAAAAAAAGCTTAAAAAAAAGAATATGAAAAAAATATGGAAAACTGATCTGAATTTCTCACAGAATCTTCACTGAAGTCCTCTAAACACACAATTAGAAAGACTTCTGATGTAGTCAAAATTATACTCACACATTGATGTTTTTTCTTTTTCTAACATTAAAAATTGTTAAGGGTTTGTGTGTGCGCACGCACAGATGCACACAGGTGCCTTTGGAGGCCAGAGTTAAAGGCAGTTGAATGGCCCAAGTATGTACTTGGAACCCAAACTGGAGCCTCTGCTAGAACAGAAAGTGTTCTAACCACTGAGTCATCTCTCCAGCTCCAGTGGCTTTTTCTGATAGAATCCCACAGAATACCCGGGTTTGTTTAAATTCCACAGTTTAGAATTTTAGAGCAGTACCTCATCGACTTGATTTTGTGTCTGCTGGAGTCTTCGATTACTGCCAGCAGCAGCACTTGAACTTCCTGAAGGCACACCTGTGGACCTGAAAGGTGTAAGGCACAAACATGAGTCTATTATGATATCCAATGCACTTACATAAGCCAGACTTGGTAAGGCAAATATGTAACCCCAGTGCTCCTTCAGTGAGAGGAGACATGACAGTTTTGGGCACTTGAGGGCCAGCTAGCCTGACACACACAGTACTGAACAAGAGACACTGTCTCAAATAAGGTGAGAGGCAAGGATCTCTGAAACTGTCCTCGAACATATACCATGGTGTGTGTGTGTGTATGTGTGTGTGTATAACCTGTTCACGCTGGGACTTGGACTTACTAATTCCTTATACTGAAATTAAAAAACAAAAGTAAAAACAGTCCTGCAGTAAGAAATAAAGGCACCAATGCAGTTTTTTTATGATCCCTCAATAATTCCCAAGACTGTTCCAGTGACCAAACTTTGAAACTTTTGTTGTGTCAATGAAGTGCATGATCCCAAGACTGGATAATACCTCTACTTTCTCTCTCTCTCTCTCTCTCTCCTTCTGATCTCTCTCTCTCTCTCTCTCTCTCTCTCTCTCTCTCTTTCTTTCTTTCAGCTTGCTTTAGGGCCTGCAGAGATGACTCAGAGGTTAAGCACACTGGCTGTCCTTCCAGAGGACCTGAGTTCAATTCCCAGCCACCACAAGGCAGCTCACAACCATCTGTAGTGAGATCTGGTGCCCTCTTGTGGCCTGCAGGGGCACATGCAGGTAACTGTGTTTATGTAATAAAAACAAAACCCAAAAAACCAAAAACCTCTTAAAAGACACACAAATGTTTAAGGGCACTCAGTATTCTTCTGATCCTTTTGTTGTGGCAAGAACTGTCTTATAGTTGGAAACAATCACAAAATAGCCAAAATGGAGATGTAGAGCCCAAGTGCATGGTGGGGTGTGTGTGAATGGAAAGGCGGGCTGAAAGCAATTCTCTCTCTGCTGGAAAGCCATTCATCCTCCACAGGCTCACCGAATGCTTTATTCACCCATGCCCACTTTCCGTAACGACTCACTCTTCCCTGTATCTAAGCCAGCACCTAAGGTGTGCCTCGCCACACGACAGTCTGCACCGTGTCTGTCAGCACGGCTGTCTGGCTTCTCTCTGAGTCCGAACACCCCCTTGAAGAGGGCACTATTACCTTCACCTCGGTAACATTCAGAACCAGCACGCAGCCAGCCGGCTGGGGTGTAGCCAGGTGCAGCTTAATTCTCTGACCGGCTCTGGGGCCCTGCCATTCGCACAGCAGTCCGACTGGGTGCATCTTAAGCGGTGTCACCAGAGTCCTGCGAACGTCACCACTAGACACCAACTTCAAAACAACAGAGTTCCTTGCTTAAGGCGGAAGCGAAACCCACGGCCGAGCTCCGCGGGGGGCGCGGCAGCGCT